GGTTCACGAGAAATATCGGTTCATTCCAGGTACACGGTCCACACCATCAACCCGCGCCTTGGTGAATGGGGTGAAGATGATGTCCTGGACCGTAGCGACGTTGCCGGAGCTGCTCGATGTTGGGGTCTTGCAGATCAAGAGTACTGGTCTCCAGGTAGCTATCCATGGGTGACTCCACACTAGAAGTTTCGCAGCTGTTTGGAGGTGACATGAATTCCAAAGGTCTTCTCCAGTCAGGCTGCGACTGGAGATGACTTCATATTTTGGTGTACATGAAGGTGATGGGCGAGAGCCAGCTCCTGCTTATAGAGGAACATCTTGGGTATCTTCCGCCCTGGTACTCGTATCCACGTCTTCTCTCTGGGCTGCGAAAACTTTGCTGATATGTGACTCGGTCGAAGTGACTTTTTTTTTGCCCCCCCCCCTGTATATACTCTAGAATGGGCTTTTAGTACAAGTCGGATCGGATTCCGACTTAATTTTTTTTGAAAGTTTTTTTAGGTTATGAAGTTCGACGAAGGCAGATTTCCTCTCAAAAAGTTTAATCAATTTACACCGACACTCACCAGATTGTGGATCAGGGTACAGTATTATGATCTGTGGAATGGCGATGTCAGCTCGTGGCCCCTTTTCCAGAATGTTACTCATCTGGTACGCCAGTTTTCCCGAAAATCTAGCTTCCGTACTGGACGGAACAAGAAGATATCATCAATCGGCTAACGATTCTATCAACGATTGTATTGGAATGGCAATTCAGCAGTTCTGGTAAGTAGGAGCACACGCGTATAGCGCCATGAAAGGAAAAAAAGAGAAGAGTTAACAGCCAGAAAAATCTTTTCGTGTGTCTGAAAACCCTCTCTCTTACAGAGGCAAAAACGGCCTCCCTCCCAGGAACGCACCGACTGATGTGGATCTCCCCAACAATGGTGTGCTCTCTTTCGCAGGGAGCATCCGAACGCTGCATACTATACGATGGTTTTGGAAGTCCTAAAATTCTCCAGAACCATTCCATTCCACTCTTTAGGTCCATATTTCTTCTACTATTTTTTACTGCGTATTTCAGAGTACATAGTATGTATCAATAACTTACTCCGTCGTACTGGAGTCTGCCGGATCTGGCATCTCTGTGAATGTTGAGCCCATCCACGAACTTTTGCAGCTCGCTGTCATCATATTGCATCCGGAACGAGTCCTGCAATATTCAGCAAAGTACTGGGTATACTTCACTAAGTATGTAGATCATGGCTTTCATACTTCGCTGCGGAGCCTTCTTGCTCGTCGTTTTTCCGCTCTTTTAACAACTCTGGAAACGACATGAAGCATTATGTAACACTGGCACTACTGGTTTCCACTTACTTTCTCTTGCGCGTAGTCTCTTTCTTTGCTAGTTCGAGACAATCGGCATTACAACATCCATGTATGCCTGTAATCGAAAGCTCTTGGTATGAAGGAGAGGGGGAGAGGGGGTAAGTGGATCATGTTTTAAGACAAACTCCACGCCTAATCCGGAGATCCAGGTCCCCGCCACGTGTAAGGTGACTGGTTCCTCAACTGTAAATTTCTAGAATTCTCAAGTCAAAAGTGCACAGGACAAGGCTGGAGGGTAGCGATACCCGGAAGCCCTTCATTACTGCGTTTCTGCTGCCGTAAGGCCAGCTATACGCCGAACACTAGCCAGACGCGTTAGTTGTCTGATCCCTCTCATTTCTGAAGGTTCTCTACCGCTAAATAGATGTTTCCCTGCGATACCCTGGTATGCGTATGAAGCCCGCACTATCCTCAATTTGCAGAAGCTGCATATTGAGGATAGTGCGGGCTGAGCGCGGGACGGCACCCGGGCATCATTACCGGCCCAGATCCCACATTTTTGAGCGGGGAAAATGGCGTACATACTACTGCAGCCGGGGGTTAAGGTGACCAAAACTTATGGTGAGGATCCTGCTCGAAAAACCAGAGCGCAAGACATGAAGGACTGCGGCTACTAGGTCATCGAGAAGTGCAAAAAAACATGTTGCGAGCCAGGCGATGAGTTTTTTGGAAGGGACAGGACAGCGACACCGGTGGATGAGCCACTTTTCTGCGTGGAAAAATCGGAATGTGAAAGCTCAAAGTGGTTACAGAACGCTATGCAGACGTGAGCGCGCAGAGAAAAACAGAAAGTTGACGCCATAGAATGGGTTCAGTTCAAGCTGAAGTTGTACGCCGCCCTAGGTGTAGACCCATTCGCCTCGCACATGGCGAACCGTATTCAAATTTGTGTACAGTTTATAGTTGAGTGGTAGTGAATGGAACAGAAACACTTATTTTTAGTCATCACTCCCAATAGGTCGAACGGTACGCTGGGGCAGGGGTCCAATAGTGCTCTCATTTTGCCCTGCATTTCACTTCCTTTCACCCACCAGTAATGTTCCCTGTCTGCACTGTAGATCATTTCTCAGAAGCAACGGGACTATGAATATGGCGATAATCCCTTTCTGAGGCCTCTTATCAGAACTCATCCGCTGCTATCACTTTCGCTCTCACACGTGTTCCTTTCCTGCCAGGTTTTCTTTGAAGTTCAACCGGTGCAGTAAGCCTCATGGGTTTCAACGGACTCACTACCACTCGGTTGTGGAAGACGAGCAAGAGAATCGTAATTTGCCGCTCCGCCGCGCGCGGCGATGGGCGCGGCGTTTTCTTACTCGTATTAACCTGTCGATTGGAGCACCGAACTTCATGTAGACCCCGTCATTGTAGACATTCATGACCATTTTCGGTTCTGAATTGCCTGTTGTCGCCATCTACTACCTGTAACCATCGTCATTTGCGGGCGCGACGTCGCACGCGACGCCACAGCGCGGCGAGTTGAATACTCTTGTCACATACCCCTCTGTGGCATGTATAACCCGTTTTTATACAACGCCTTCCTCGAAAGTAATGGCTGCTGATTGACCCGACTATCAGAAATACTAGATTTATTCATGAATGTGCCGACACTTGAAGGCACAATCAGGTGGAGAAGTTTACAATATGGCATCGGGAGGGTAATGTGGTCGGCGAGGAATAACCCTGCGATTCCTCCGCGAAAATTTCTGGGGGAGGGGCATAGCTCAGCATAGGTTCAGTGACGCCTCCTTTTCTCCAGTGGCTCCGCCCCCACACTCCGCTTTCAAGGCCCTGTAAAAACGAAGCTGCAGGACGAAAAAGCATGAAAATCGTCACTTGTACGGTCGTAGAGTTCTTATCGGGGAATCAGCTGTGCGGATGAGGGCGTAGTGTTGGAGATGGAGTTAATTGGGCACGTACAAACTGGGATCGGAATGGGGTTCTATTTAGGGCAGTTGGCATGTTTTTTCTGCTTTTTTCTTCACTATCGAGTTACTCAGCACCTTGTCGTCTATATGGAAACCCCTAATCCACTATCTGTGATGGCGAATGATCGCGTTCTTTGCCATCAACATACCTTCGTGATCAGCACTTTCAGCTGTATCGTAGCAACGTCGACAAACGTTATGGTCACAAAGGCCGAACTCGATGTAGTCAATGTCCGTCATTCCTCCGCACGGGCCATCACAACGTACTGGAATGCGCAGGGCAACTGAAAGCTCACGCACATTGGAATCATTAATCCATTTTCACATGAATTCTCTCTGATTATCTCAGTAACTGAGGCTAAAGCAATTACACGCGTTACAGTAAGGTGAGGAATTCTGATGCAGAACACCCTTACCATTGTTTCTCCGTCTCCCCCTCCCCAGTTGGCTTTGAATGCCGTATCGTCATAGTACATTGAAAGAAACGGCTTCGAACCGAATCTCATGTCACTTTGGAAAGGAATCGCGATAACCCAACGATGCAACATATTGTTAGGGAAAAGGTGGTGAGCTCCGCACCAGAACAACCTTGTGCAACTTTCGCGGAGAAGTTGTAAGATGAAGGCGCTGAGTTTCTCCAGTAACACCTCCTCTTTTCCATGAACTCCGCTCCCCAGTCCACCTTCGAGGTCTGAAATCCAGCTGCCGTACGAGCAGCATGGAATGGAAGCTTTTTGAAGGAGCG